GCCTCCTTCCCGATTGAAAACGACGACCGCGCCCTCAGCTACGAGCCCGCTCCGCGTGTACCTCCGCACCTTTGTATTTTCTGCACTATGCCTCCTCTGAGTCTCATATGCTGTTCTCTTTCCTTCAAGTTGAAGAATTTCCCCTCAGCCAGTCTTCCTGTGGTTCTGGGCGATGTCCGTTCCGTATTTTAGTTGTATTTTTGAAGTGGTTGTTCAAGGCAGCTAACTCCGGTGTTTACCTATGCCGCCATCTTGGTTTCTCCGACTCTGATTTTTGTGTTTTATGAGGCATGTCAAATGGCAAGCCCCAAAACACTTCTTTTTTTCTGCAAGTATAAAAGTCTGTACTGACATATAAATGCTGGGGAAAATATATTTCTTTAAAATATATTTTTATTGATTTCAGAGAGAGGAGCGGAGAGGGAGAGACAGGAACATCAATGATGAGAGAGAATCATCGACCAGCTGCCTCCTGCATGCCACCTACTGGAGATCAAGCCCGCAACCCGGGTATGTGCCCTGACAGGGAATGGAACCATGATCTCCTGGATCATGGGTCAATGCTCAACCACTGAGCCACACTGGCCAGACTGAAAATACTTTTTAATTGGGCTTTAAGGGATATCATTTGGTTTCTTCGATATAACCAATATATGCTCAAGCCATGCTGACTTTTAACTTGTGAATCTTACATACACTTCCTCACTCTATGTATTACAATGCATTGTAATTATTTGTTCTCATGATCCAATTCCCTTCAAGGGCAGAGACGGTGTTTAATGATCTGACTATCCAGCACTAGTTCATGGTAGATATTTAATAAACACTTGTTGCACTGAATTAATTCTGTCAACTCAGTTAGCTATATGAAAAAATAAAATAATCCAAAATAGCAGATGACACAAAAATTATATAGCTATTGCTATAATCCAAGCAATGGCAGCTTGTACCAGAATAGTAGCAGGGGATGTGGAGAATAATGTCAAATTCTTTAAATACCTTGAATATAAGTCAGAAAACATTTGTCAATGAACCAGATGTAGGTGTGAATTTTAAAAGAGTGGGAGAGCAGAAACT